AGAATTATGAAAGGTTCTGGAGCGTGACAGAATCATGTGTGTTTATATATATATATATATATATATATATATATATATATATATATATATGTGTGTGTATGTGTGTGTGTGGTTACGTATGAAATAAGATAATCGACAATTGAACGAGAAAATATCATAGAAGATTCTAGCTTTAGTTAGTTGTGTGTACGTGCATGTGCATGGACGTATATGTGAGATCAAGTGATTGACAATTGATCGAGGTATGATATGAAAGGTCTAACGTGTCTCTATGAGAAATTTATTTAATTCTAGATATTATTAAATTAAAGGTATGAATAAGAGATGCAGAGGTATCGGTAAAAGTCAAAGTGAAATTGTCAAAATGTCAATGATAGAATAAAACAAAATGAAAAATCGAAGTGAAGTGTAAAATATCAGAATACAAAGAATGAAGAATCGAGATTCGAAAAATTGTTTGATATATTTTATAGATTTAAATCTGACATGGCATCAATAAATAACGTTATGTTTGGTTTCGTGATTATTTTGTTAATGTTAGAATTTTTTAGTTATTTAATTAACCCTTTGAGTGCTCAATACTTTTACCTAAAATGTTTTATAGGAACTGAGTAATTTATTATTAATAAATTATATTTAATAATATTGTAGTTTTTGTTTTTGAATACAATTTGATTAATTCATATAAATATTAAATTATTTTACATAAACATTAACAAACACGTATATATATATATGCTTCGAACGATAAGGTTAGTAATTTTTACTAAACGCATATATACGTCCATAGCACTCAAAAGGGTTAATTTAAATTTCATTTTTTCTATAGAAAGTTTAATAAAATTAAGTTATTTCATTTTAAAGTTTATTTTTTGTATAGAAAACATTGAATTTTATTTCACACTTAAAAATCGAAATGATTTTCTTGCCAACCCAATATAATAAAGGATATCTTGTTTTTTTTTTTTTTTTTTTTTTTTTTAATTTATGTCACATGTAATATTCTACATACGTAAATATCTATTAAAGAAATAATAAGGGAGAATAAATTTACATATTAATTTGTTAATGCAAACATGTCAAGCACAGATCGAATAAAAGTTACAATATTATTTTTGACACGTTTCATACTTTTCAAATTAAAAATAAAACCCCTACAAATATTAATTCCTGTAACTACAGATGAATCATTTTTAATCGTATTTAGAGATTACTTTTTTTTTTTTTTTTAACACTTGTCACATTAAAAAAAGACAAAAAAGAATAAGAAGAAGAAGAAGAAGAAGAAAAAAAATAAAGAAAAGGAAATGAAAATGAAAAAGAGAAACACTCGGAGATATCCCAGCTAAGTCCTTTTAAATCCGTCATCAAGGAAAAGTTTCGTAGTAAAAGGAAGAGGAGAAATAAAAGTAAAAGAGTGAAAAAGAGGGAGGAAGGGACACACAGAGAGAGAGAGAGAGAGAGAGAGAGAGAGAGAGAGAGAGAAAGAGGGAATGAGTGAGTGAGTTGTGATATAGTAGAAGAGAAGTTAATAAAAGAAAGAACAGGGACACGATTGTGCACTATTCTATACACCCTGTCCTACGTCACTGGTAATTATTTATCGGCTACCCTTTGACCGAGCTATCCAACGAGCTCGATACCACCTTAAGAGATTCGATTAGTTCCGAGACAATCTTTGCCAAGCTGCTTTTTGTCTCCAAAGTAGAGAGAAAGAAGGAGAGAAAGATTAAAAGAATACAAAAAAAAAAAAAAAAAAAAAAAGAAAAAAAGAACAGGCAAATATCATCGATTATCGGAAGAACCATTAGTTCATTAATCGACATTGTAATAGAGGATAGAAAGAAATAGGGAGATTGAAGGGATAAGGGATAGTAGTACAGAAAGAAATAAGGAAAGAAAAGAAAAAGTTATGTGTTCGTGTTTAACGTCGCCTCGCGTCGCGTCGCGTCGCGTCGGTACAATTAATTATCCAGAGATTACACGTACTTCTACCAACGGGAAAGTAATCAAGGGGGTTGGGAAGAGTTAATGTAACTCGGATATTGTAATAGCTTGCCGCGTCTACGATATTGACACATCGAAGAAGATATATATATATATATATATATTAAAAAAAAAAAAGCACGAGAAATAAAATAGAGAGAAAAACAAAAAAGGGAAGAAAACAAACTTGTAACGAGGTATACATTTACGTCATGCGTATAATCCAAATGCGATACCAGTTATTGGTTAATATATTGTGACTATACCGATACCGATAGCCACCAAATAGCCATAATGATGTTCCCTAGAGTACGATCAAATCTGTTTCAGTGTCTCTCCCTAAGCTTGTTCTCTCTCTCTCTCTCTCTCTCTCTCTTTCTGGATAGGTTTGGGTTACGTCACCAATGCAACACACCATTCAATTCCCTTTTCCTCTCCTCCGGAATGCACTAACCACCCCACGTAGGTTGATAGGGGTACGATCGCGTTAAACGTCCGAGACGAAATTCGCGAACGAGAGGAGGTTTCAACGGAAACTCGACATTCACATTGGCCAACATCGTGAATTTCAATTTACGACGAAACGAGCGAACGAGTGAGAGCGCGTAAGAGGGACCCCGATAGAATTACGTGCGTGATTCCCAATTACGCCTTGCCAATCCGTTTATCATTGAAGGAGTGTTTAGACACACGTTTTAATGCTGTTTGTCGTTCGTCCAAATCTATTTCTCTCTTTCGTTCATTCACTTACTCTTTACTATCTTTGTCACTCATTTAATAGTCATTTTATAGACATTTTATACACATTCTATTTCTCTTTCATTTGCTTTTCTCGATTACGTGATTTCTCTCTCCCTCTCTCTCTCGCTCTTTTTCTCTTTAGCTTTAGTTCTAGTTTGAACTCTCTGTCTCACGAATGAGCTCAACCGATTCAAAGGGATTTCAGAGTATTGCAAAACGTTTATTGGATAGTCTTGCTCCGTTTTCGGCAGAGCAGCAATGAACGATTTTCCCCTGAACATTATATGGCCTTTTCGAAAGGTTCGTTAGCGTGCGTCGAATTGGTGATCAAGTCGAATTCTTCCTGGAAAATAGTCCAAATTCCATGCCAGTGTCTATCGATAATGAAATGTTGACTGTCCACTTGGGAACATGGAAAAAAAAAAAGCAAGGAAAAAGAAATAAAAAGAAAGAGAGAACGAATATATAACTAACATTTGGCGTAGTTGGAAATTAAACGAAAACAGGTAAAAAAGAAAAAAAAAATTCTACACGGACAATAATTAAATTTTTCTAATTAGATCTACGATTTGGAATGTGACATACCACACCGAAATAAGTTTTAGAGTTTTCAATCAAATAAAATCCTCTTATGAATGAAAATAAAAAGAAAAAAAAAAAAAGAAATTCTGTAATTAGGATTATCTGACAAAAATGCCCTTCGTAATTTAATATAGAAAATATCATGAATATTTTCCTCTGGATCTACATACATTCATTATTATCTAGCTAGGTAGCTAGCTAGATAGCTAGCTGGGTTGGTTTGCTGGTTAAACGAAAAAGAAAAGTTCACAAAAACTAACCGGAATTCCTTCCTTGTGAACGTTGAAACGCATAGATCTTTCCGAAACGCTGCTCGAGCTAGCTAGAGCTAGCTGGCTAGTGGTCCTGTTGAATAATTCTCTACACAACCGACAAATAGCGCGTGTCGTAATATCTCATTCGCGAATAGCAAAGCATTTTGTGCGATGTGCTTTCATAGAATTTCAAGATAGAAAATTTTTCCTGCTTATTTCTCTTCCCTTGTCTTTTATTCTTTTCCTTTCTTCTTTTTCTTTTTCTTATTTCTTATTTCTCTTCTTGTATTATTATCTTATATTTATTTATTTTGTTTTATTTATTTCCATCTTTTATTCTACGTGTCTCTCGGAGAAATAAATGCTTATATTCCGAGTAATATTATCGATAATTCCCCCGTCAATTTTCTTTTTATCGCTTTTATTCGCAATAGTCGTTAGTAGTCGTCGATTCGGTAAAAGAGTACTTATTTATACGCCTCGTTCGTCATATCAGCTTCGATCGTCAAACGATTTACGATGTGCGACCTGAAACACTGGATATTGGCTCGCCCCTTTACGATCTCTCTCTCTTTTTCTCTTTCCCTTTCATCATCCCTTGCTTACTTGCTTACTTGCTTGCTTGCTTGCTTGCTTACTCTCTTTATTTCTGTCTCTGTCTCTTTCTCTCCTTTCCTTTTCATCATTCCTTGCTTACTCACTCTTCTTATATCTCTTTCTTTCTTTCTTTCTTTCTCTTTCTCTCTTTCTCTCTCTCTCTGTCTCTGTCTTTTCATCATGAAAGTTGGAGAAGGAGTGAGAGAGAAATCTTTGCGAAATGCTGCGTGATCCGCCTTCCTCGTTTATTAACTCTCAAATGCATGCTTGGAATCCCTTAGATGCGACTTAAAGAGTTAAGCACTGTGAGCAAGATTCTTAGAATGTCTAATATCATACTCCAGGAATCTTCAAGTGGAAAAAGTTTCATGTCTCTTGGGAAAGTATTTTCCAACGGAAGATATATAATAGATCACGTTTTGATACACCAACCCTCACCCAACCTTTTACATCATTTCATTTATTAATCATCCTTTGATTTTTTATTTTCAATCGATATCTATCATATTATATTGGGTCTACCGGAAAGTTCTGTTCATTCTGACAAACATCGATTCAATGTTTCGTCTCTACTAGGGATAAAACATTTTTTCAAAATGCAATATACGAATTGTCATCACACTATGATAAGAGATAATTGATAAATATTAGTCAATTAATGAGATATGAAAATTGATTACTTTTGTTTTATTCTAAAAATGGACAGAGAGAACTTTTCCGGTAGACCTAATACAATTTATTATTATTATTATTATTATTATACATTTCAATCTTAGTTTTAAACATGTTTTATCTAACGATATTTCTAAGTTAAGGTGAAGTATCAATATGCTTTTACAGATTCAATCCCGGGAAAATGATCCGAGATTACTTGATGCTGCTTTCGTGGTTTTGCGCGGTACAAGGAAAGATAGGCAAGTAACGCGTAACCGCACAATTCTCATACTACTATCTCGTATCTTATCTCATTCCTGTACAAGGATAGATTTTCTACAATAAAGAGCTCCGTTTACTATCACAAAGTACTAGTATTTTCTCGAGATATTTTAATAACGATCGAGATAAACGAAATAGTCGTTCGCGTTAAAATTATACACTGGTTATTTCTTACGAAATGAAACGATAAATTTGAATCTAATTAATCGTTCTTATATATTTATAAATTATTAATATATAATTGAAAGGATATCGACAAAAAAAATTAGATATTGTATTCGAGTATTAACAAGATTAACATTCTATTTTTGTTTTATTCTTTTTGTTTTTTTTTTTTTTTGGCCAATATTATTCCATCGTTCGCGAATAAAGTGTCGATTGAATGAACTACTTTCGCGAATATCTAAAAAAAAGAATATAAAAACGTCAGGAAGTACAAAATTAATTATCTTAATAAAGAACGGTCGAGCATTTACTCGACGTTAAAAATGAAAGATCAAATATTTTTTTTATTCCAATCGGTTTTATTAATTCTTTTTTTTTTTCTTTTTTTTAGTATATATCACTAAAAGCAACCATTGATATTTCGATTTAGTTATTCGTTTTTCAATTTAACGATTTTACTTGTTCAAATTGTTCGAGCCCCTTCCCGTGTCATCCTACACAACGGCAGAGATGACGATCGATCGGAAATCTCTGAATTAGAAATAGAAAAACACGAAATCAAATATTGAATAGACTATGTCGTCATCATCGTCGTTGTCATCGTTTTAGTCGTAGTCGTTGGTATTACTGACCATGTCTGTTTCAGGATATTTCTGGCACATCACCGACATTCACTATGATCCAAAGTATGGCACCCAGGGAAATTTTGGGAATGGTAAGTCATCTTTCTCGTAACATTGCATAATGTTACTCCTGATACGTCTTAACATTATTCTCTCATACCAAATTCGTCCCTTATAGATCCTTCCCTTTCTAGAGATTTACTTCTCAACCCTAACTCTATCAAACACACCCTTACCACACTCACACATACAATCAACGTATTCAAATATCCATGTATGTATTCATGCATTTCTATTTCGTGGTGAAATCTTCTCCACATGTATGTATATCCCTACCAATCGTTTCGAAATACATACCCGGCGTCTATGTAATAGTAGTGGTGGCACGAGGTTTACATAAAATACCGGTGATAGCTTAAATTGCTGCTGCCCTCGAGTTCCTTCGCACACCCTTCTCTTTTCACCCTCTTTTTTCGTTCTCTCTTTCACTCTCAACATCCCCCCACGGATGCCACTTGGACGTTAATAGTGACGAGTGAAAACCGTGCTCGTTCTTTTGCCTGTATACACACACACACAAGAACGCGTGCGTTCACACTAATGCAATCAAAATCTTCTACATTCGCATACGCAAAATACACGCATGTACGCACACCAAGGAGGTTTCTATGAATGTACATCACCCCCTTTGGCCATACGATGTTAACCGTGCAAAAACATTTCGATGAGAGGGTGGAGGTGGGTAAGAAGAAAAAAAAAAAGTAGAAGAAGTAAGGGAGAGAAAACGAAGGGGAGGAAAACACGGGAATAAAATCTTCCGACGGTAGTTGGTGAATTTCGTTGCTTTCGCGCCCGTCGTTATAACTTTGGCATGCCTTTTGAAAACGCGTAAAGGGCCTCTACCTCCCTTACCACTTGTGTACGAGCCGCAATATTCGTACTTTTTAAAATACTTCGTTAGATTCGAGATTAAAGTTGAAATGTAAGCTGATCCGGCCTCTACCCTGAACGAGACCCAACGATTTCGATGAAATTTACTGAGCATTAAAGAGAGTCTGTTCGTAAATAAAAATATAAAATATAAATAAAATTAAATATACATTAACGTGCCCCTATCTCTTTTACCATCCTTCTTTGAGTTTTCTTTTAATTTTCTTCCACTTATACGTGCTGTTATACCTATTACTACTACTACTACTACTACTACTACTACTACTAAAAATTACTATTTTTTTATGATATCAAAAGACAGGTATTTTGATTTTAAAGAGTCAAACGATATTTTAAAAGTCTTTGAGTTACATACACTCACTCTGTTAATTTCATTAAAATCACTATAAGCTTCAAAAAGTTTGAAATTGTTCAGACAAATTGAACGTTAAGATAGATTTAATAAAGAATGATATATTTTAAAATAGAAAGAGAGATTTAATTAATTAGAATTAATCATATGAGACAAATGAGAACAATGAAACGAATTAAATGATTTCTATATACGAAGTTAACATCCTATTCTATCCTATCCTATTGCATTCCATAAAATTGTAAAAAAATCTAAATTTAAATGAAAAAGCAAAAAAGTAAAGACAACGTATAAATTTAAAAAAAAAATTTTTATTAATATTATCGATTTTGTCTGATCTTCGTTCTAGTCTGCAGAAATACGAAAAACACCATCGAAGGGCATCCAAGTAGACTGGACAGAAAGCTAGGACATTTTGGTGAATATACCTGTGATACGCCATGGGCACTGATCGAATCAGCAGCACAGGCAATGGAAACAAAACACGATGAAGGAATCGAATTCGTCCTGTGGACGGGGTAAGTCGAAATGTTGTCGATTGAAAAACTTCGTTGCACTACGACCAAGTGCAACAAAGCGCAACAAACGTTATAACACGCTTGGCTCAGTTTTCCTATGATTTCGTTAACACCCGTCGCGAATTTGTTGCGTTAAATATTTAACCCTTCACGTATTTACCATAGAACCATAGAAACAGATAAAGAGAAATAGCGAGGATTATTTTCTATGTTTTATTTTTTTGTTTTTTTAATTTTATTTCATTTCATTTTGTTAAAATCTTTTTTTTTTGAGTTTTTTTTTTTCGGCGTTAGGTATATAAAATAAATTTTATTTCGCGCTCGTTCGGGTCAACGTACGCGTTTGCGCCTTCGTTTGTTCACGTTATAATCTCGCGAAATTCTGCCACGATTAAAGTCGACAGAATGGCGTGCTCGTGTACAGGTTTACATCGTAATACCATAAAGAGAAATATGTATGCACGCACACGCGAAAAGAGCGCCGAGTTGTTGGGAAATTCAAGCTCGAATCGTTCCGACATTTTTGATAAAACAACGTGATTTAACTCTATGCAATACTCATACGTACATATACATATATATATGCATATCCTTTACGTATATTTTGCCGAACAATAATAATTAAATTGACCGACTTGATAATCAGTGAATTGTGAAATTCGTATCTCCCTATTGTAATCAGCTCATTAGTTTAATCCGTATATTGTATTAATTATTAATCGCATTTCAATTCATGCGTAACGTTTGCTCGCAACTTTGATTTATATCGACCTATTAAAGGAGCCTGTTTTTCACTTTGATTATGGAATTATTCATGATCCAAATATACGCACGATCTTTCTGTAATTATACAATATACATATATAAAATCAAATATTCGTAGTATAACTTTGCAAGAAAATATTTACAACGTGAAATCACAAATACCATATATATAATTTAGCTAAAAAAAATATTACAACAATATTAGAACAAAACAAATATAGCAAATTTAACCAGTTAAATGTATCGATCGAAACAGGACATAAAACTTGGTAGCAAAATATAAGAGAAAGTATTGTAACACTGTGTTACCTCATAGTTATTACCTCATCGTTACTATCGATTCCGTCTATCGACCATGGTCACCACTTCTCGTCGTAATCCCTAGACGAGAGCTTCTACTAAGGCTAACGAGGTCGTAACTACTTGTTGCAGTGACGCACTGACGCGCACGGCCCTGACTGACGAGCTTCGACTGCAGTATTTGCAGAATTTGACCGATCTGTTGTCCCGCACGTTCAAGTCGCAATTTGTGTTTCCTGCATTGGGACATGAGGAAATAGGGGTGAGCTTCCAACAGCTATCTTTGCTCTGGCAGCAATGGGTACCACAAGAAGCTATGGATACTTATCTAAGAGGTTAGTTTGAACAAATTTCACAGATTCTAATCGACAATGGAAAAACTTAGAAGAAGATCCATTTAGATCGGAATTATCGATTGTACCCTTACACAGCTGGCTATTACACGATCGAACAGAGTTCAGAAAAATATCTGATAGTCTTCCTCAACACGAATCTTTGGATAAACTTATCGGATAATCGAATGGCACATCGAACTAGCGGCATCAACTCCGATAACACGCAAGATCCTTTTGGTCAATGGGTCTGGTTCGAATCGGTCCTAAAAAAAGCTCGTAAAGAAGATAAAGCGGTAAGTATCACTCAAATTAGTTTATCAATTTATTCAAAGGGTTATCGAAGTTGCTTAGTTAGTTGGTTGGTTGGTTTGTTGGTTGGTTGGTTGGTTAGTTGTAATACGAACATGCTATTAAACTAACTGATTATAAGTCTCAACATACTCGCTAAGTATCGTACGGTAAATGTATTATGAGAGGAAGTTCGATAATTAAAAGGATCAAGTGATCGCCGAGGTATTAATCGTAGACGTAGGATTCATTTGAAATGTAATGTTGCTAGCGTACCACTACTACACTTACCATTAGCTAGACGCTGCTTATGTACCGAGACACGCTCGCAAATGAGATTCCGTTGATCGCCCGTCAAAACCTGTCAGGACATGATTTATCGACTCAAGTACACACGAAGTCCATCCTTAGCACGACTATACGAACAGACGATAACGCCATCATCAAAGGACGATATAGATATCTCACTTTCCCTTTCATAGGTTACCTCTAATCGTTCCTTGGATCAACACTTCTCCATTATTATATCTACTCGTTGTTCCTATCCCCATTCCATTTTTCTTTCGATCACTTTGAAGGATTACCTCAATCAGGATATCGGTAATCAGACAATTTTTACGATCAATCCTAGTTTCCTTTTGATGGATCAAAAAGAAAGAGGGAGAGAGAAAAGAGGAGCCCAATTTTTCTCAACAAATTCTTATTTCACGTCGAACGGGAAAAATGAAAAAAAAAAGAGATCTCTCTCGTAGGATTTAACTGGGAACATTTTGCTAAGAAAAATCTAGCGAAACGTTGGACGAGCTGATGCAAGTAGAAGTAGAAGTAGAAGAAGAAGAAGAAGAAGAAGAAGAAGAAGAAGGGAAGAAAAGGACCTAAGGGTAGGGACAAATATAGCGACTCAAACTTATCGGTTATCGATTACACCCTAAGGCGCATAGAACGAGGATGACATACGCGAAGAGGAGCTTACTTGGGCTTTTCCTACGCGAGTGGACGATGCAACTGGGTATCGATAAATTATGGAAGGACTTCGTATTCCTATGAACGACGAGGAGCTACTAACACACACACACATATATATATATATATATATATATATATATATATATATATACATATATATCCCATTGCACGCCTATACCATTGATCCCGATCGGTATTAACCAGCATCTAGATATAACATTCTCCGTACGGTACACCATAGCCACCATATCTGACACATAAGTACACACGAGCGTAAGCAGTCCTGGTATTTCGTAGCATACTCCAATACCTATGGATCGTACATTTCCCACGATGATATTGTCACCTCTATAGGATACCAAAGAGATTCTCTATTCTCTATCTCTTCTTGACGTCTTTCTGAGATCTTAGATCTTTGTTAGAAGCTTATATATGGCATTCTTCAAATCCCCATAAACGTAGCTCTCAGCAAAACTTAACTCACAGTCAGCTGTTTCATTTCACGATATTTCCTAGATTTTTCTGGATTACGAGAGAAGAAAAAAAATAAATATATATATATATGTAGGAGAGTTTTAAGTGTAGCAGAGATAGACAAAAGCTGGTATTCAGTCCTTTCTGTAGATCTCATTTTATTTGAAAAAGAGAAATCTATCCAGATTAAAAGAAAAGATTAGTTGGGCCATAAAACCATAAACGAACCTTGAGGGTTATTAGGATATTGGTGTAATAAAAAA